TAACACCCTTCGTGCTTTTCACTCTTCCTCACCAAGCAACAACAACTTAAAGTATCAAACAAAGTGGGAAGCAAATTTCAACTTCAACCATAGTACTAGAATAAGCAAATTCAACTTTCAATATAGGAACAATTCTAACATAAACAATAAGCACGAAAACACATAGTTAAACAATAACCGATCTATGTAAGACATGGAAAACATAGTAAGTGAAGCAATATGATACAAATAAGGCAAATTCCACCCGCATGCTTTACCCACGACAACATATATATACTCGTCACCTTGCATATACATCGTCCCCACACATAATTCACGTATCAAAAAACCAAACAATTCCTAATTCCCTCAAGACAAAGTTAACCACGACACTTACATCTTTCCGTAATAAAATCACAATCATGGCTTTTCCTTTTGAACAAGCCTTCAAACCAACCGAATCTAGCCAATTGTCATTCAAACAATTCAAAGTAAGCTTTAGAAACTACCCACGAATAAAAAAGGTCCAATCTTTAGCTAAATTGAAAAACTCAACAAAAGTCAACCCCGAGCAAACTTGGTCACAATTCGAGATTCGGACCAATTCCTGGCTACCCATTCACCCAGAGCTCTGTGAGCTCTGTTATGTGATTTGTTTTGAAATTTGACCTCAATTCGAGGTTTTAATCTCAATTTTATAAAATTCCTAATTTCTACCATGGAATTCATGGATTTGATGATAAAATTCATGGAGTAATTGAAATTTATTGAAAACTTAAAGTTTCTTACCATTGAACGTGGGAAGAAAATCCTCTTCAAAAATTGCGTCTAGAGAGTTTAGAGTTGAAAAATAATGTGAAATGAGCTAAGTCCCGACTTTACCATCTTTTACCCAGTTGTAGACATTGCAATTGCGATGTACGCAATTGAGAAACACTGATCGCAAAAGTGACTGGTGCAACAGTCACGCAAAAGTCACAAATGCGACAAAACCTTTTCATTCGCGAAGGACACTCCCTCTCATATCTAAGCCAAGCTTCGAAAATGCGAAGCTACTCTACCTAATACAGTGCCGCAAATTTGACTTCAGGACTGCAAAAGTTAATCTAGACCAGATCGCAAAGGTGAACATTTGTTCGCAATGCAAATCCCAGCCCCCAGTTACCACTTCGCATTTGCGAGCCTGACATAGCAAATGTGAGGCTCGCAATTGCAATAAGGTTCTTGCACATGCATGACCTGCTACTTGACACCAGCAACAGTTGTGCATCAGTTGTTCCAAATCAATTCGAAGTGCATCCTTAACTCACTTATGCCTCTCACGCTCCAAACCGAACATGCACACAAGTTTAATAACATCATACAAACTCGCTCTCTACCTCAAATCACCAAAACAACATCAAATATCAAGAATCGATCATCAAAACTCAAGAAAAAACTTAAAAACTCAATTTTCACAATCTTTTACATAATGCGTCGAAATGTGCTCGTATCACCCGAGACCCCAATCAAACATGTGTACAAGTCCAAAAGTATCATACGAACCTAACAGAATTGTCAAAATACCGATCCGAGGATGTTTACCAAAAACGTTGACCGTGGTCAATCACTTTTTCTTCAAAATTTTACGTAAAAGCTTACCGAAAAATGATACGGACCACGGGCGCAATTCAATAAATATTAAACGAAGCTCTGGGAGGTCTCAAAAGACTAAAAATAAGCCTAGTACTCAAAACGACCTATCAAGTCGTCACACATAAGCACCGTTGTGCCTGATGTACCCTATATGATCTCATGTAGTGTTGACTGTACTTGCCTGATAGGATGGCCTCTACCATAAGAACCCCCAACTCCAGACAAGGCTCCACTGAATCCTCCAAATGACGGGGCCTGTTGTAAAAGGTCGACTCCCTTACCTGGCCTCTTATGCGCTCGATGCCGAGTAACGGTCATGCTACCATGCTGAAGGCGCTCTAACTGACTGCGCAACTCCTCTCTCTGAGTGAAGGGAATTAAATTCTCCAAGAACAACAGCGAGAACAGATCAACAAATCGAGTCTCATACTGAGTAACGGTCATGCTACCATGCCGAAGGCAATTTAACTGACTGCGCAACTCCTCTCTCTGAGTGAAAGGAATAAAATTCTCCAAGAATAACTACGAGAACTGAGCCCATGTGAGAGGAGGTGATCACGCTAGCCTTCCCAGCTCATACACCTGCCATCACCTCTTGGCGGAACCATGCATCTGAAATAAAGTGGAATGAACTCCAACTCTACTAGCCCCATGTTGCGCAAAATCTCATGGCAACGGTCTGGGGTTCCTCCGAAGGTGCACCACTAAAGTGAGGGGGAAACAACTTGGTGCCAAATGAAACACATCGGCCTGAGCCATACTTTCCATGAAGCCAACCATGCGGACTAAGGCATCCTGAAGCATAAGGGTAGCAATGAACCCTTCTAGGACCTGAGTTGGTCCTACTGGCTCAGTCCGAACAGGGATTCATCATCCTGTGCTACTTGACGCTCGACAACATGTGTCGCTGCGCGTGCTATAGACTGAGCTCTACCTCTACCTCTGCCCCGGCCCCTACTTGCGTAGTGGCTGCAATCTGGAGCTTCGGCTTCTAATCAGCTGCGATGATATACGCGTCCTTACCATCTGTGAAAGAATAAGGGGAGAAAGAAGTTGATGTTTCCTAAAGCCTTATAGCCTCTAGAAGATACGTACAGACATTTTTGTACCGATTCTCAAGATTCTACTAAATTTATTTATGGCTCGTGAGACCTATGCAATCTAGGGCTCTAATACTAACTTAGCACGACCCCATGATTGGGATTTTGGGTCGTGACATCATTCTCAGCATTTTAGCCTATTTAATAATTGGAATTTCACTGATGTTGGATATATTTTGCTTACCTACTCGCCAATTTGAAATATGTATTGCCAGAAAAGAGGCAAAAATGAAGTTTGAAGTCATCAAAAGTAAAGGAATAGGAAGAAAAAATCATTTCTAGCTTAATCAATTTGAATATTTTATTTGGATTTCCCCTGTATTATAGCTAAAGAAGGGACAAAATTATAGTAACTAAGAGCAGCAGTAGAAACTAGATCAAAGTACTATTGAGGGGCTTGATGATATGATCGGATCGATTTTCAAACTTAGCATGAATCTCTAATTTCGAGCTCTATGATGAGAAAACTTTTATATCAAAAACTAGTAGTAGCAGCAGTAGAAACTAGATCAAAGTAATATCTAGTGATATAGTGGGATGGTTTGGATCGGGCTCCTAATTTAACACGAGATCTTTAATTCGAGCCTTTAGAATATAAAACGTTTTGGTAGAGCATTTTACTTCTTTTCGTTAATATATATATATATATATATATATATATCAATGTGATTACGAATCAGTTGAATCTGTAAATTTCAAATACCGGATAGTTTAACAAAAAGATAAGAAACTAGATCAAAGTCCTATAATATTCCAAAAAATGTTGCATAGGATCCCAAACACCATCCAAAAGGAAAGCTCTCACGTTTTGACCAGACAAAAGGCAAGAAAAACAAAGACTAGTAGACCAAGTTATCACCTCGGGGAGGCTCATTTCACAAGTCTTCCTTCACAAACCCTAGTTCACATGAGACCCATATACTCCATCTAGAAACAATCTTCTTGTTTAATGAATAACGACGACACATCAAAAATTGTCAAATGCCCCACCATACATTTTTATAATCGTTGAGAAAGGGAAAACCTTTGAAAATATAAATCATTCATATAATAAGAATCCAAAGACTTGGACCAAATATTTAATATACATATATTAAAGGGGAGTGGTTGGCACCCTCGAGGTCATAAAGTAATCAATTGATCATCAACCCCACTAATTTTCTTTTGACTTTGTTATCCCCTCCACCCAAATCAAGTCACTCCCTGCTTTAATTTTAATAAATTTGTTCTCAAGGACTCATGAGTCATGACTATTATTTTACAACAAATAGCGCTTATTGTTTAGTTTGTCAGAAGGTATAACTTTTTTCTTTAATTATTCGGTATCCGAAGTTTGGTAACTTGATTCATCCGAATTTGTATAGGTAAATCCATTAAAAGGACAATATTTTCGTTAGAAAAGTTCTCCATTACCAAGATTAATTAAAACATGAAACTTTTAATTAAAGATAAAAGAATTCCAATTATCTCACCCCATAAATTCCACTTTCAATACGTTCTAATGTATATAATAATTTGATCTAATTAACTTTATTGCCCTTTCCCATTGAGTAACAGCTACGATGGGAAGCAAAACTCCTTTATTAATATTTGAGTTGCAGCTGGAATGAGTGGACTTCCTCGCATAACCACCCGACGCGTATGTAATATTTGTCCACAACCATATAAAAATACGATGAATTATGTCTTTTCTATAGTACTCCTTCCAGTCCAAAATAAGTGATTTTTTGGATGTTTTACACAGATTAAGAAATCCACCTTTTAGCATTAATTAGCAATGAAATTGACCATATTAACCTTTACTATCTCACATAAACACTCCTAACACATATTCCAACACTATTTACTCCAAGGAAAATGTAGGGAAAAAATAATTAATTCATTCTTAAAATCTGAAAAAATCACTTATTTTGGACCACAAGAAGAAGGCCAAAAATCACTTATTTTGGACCGGAGGGAGTAATTATTACAATACTTCGACAATGACAAATTACCTCTTAAGTGTTAATGTTGCCATATCAAAAGAATAGTACATGTAGCAATTTGATTAATGCATTAATATCAATTTCCCATTAATTAATCTTTAATCATTGCATAGGGAAGCAAAACTCCTTTTAAAAAACATTTGATTCTTTCGGAGCTTGAACGAGCTAGTGTACTTCCTAAAACACCCACCGCGTATAAGTGAACTAAAAATTACTCAATCCTTCTAGCCTTCATCATAAATCTACTGAAGTTTCATTAGTATTATTGATTGAATAGTTGGTGACATTTGAAATACAGCAATTGAGAAGAGGAAAGGAGTAAGTACTGTATTATTTCAATTGAAAGAGATGAAAAAAAAAAAGAATAATCTTTTTAACATGATATGGAATGGTGTATGAGGAGGGGTTGACAAAATAAAAAAAAATTCGCCCACCCCATAAACCAAAAAAAAAAAAAAAAGGAAAATATTAAAAGCCCACTACGTGCATGATTCAATGTCCACCAAATCCACAACTTTGAGATATTTGTTTCAACGCAAAATCAAAAGTTTTCAAACAATAATAAACAAATGGACCCCTCCCCTCAAATGCCAATTTCTCCATCTTGTTCTTTTCACTAGAAGTTTACTAAATGAAGTGCATTTGCATTGATTGTTTTAGATTGTTCACGTCTGTTGGTGGGACAAAAAAAAAAGAAAAAAAAAAGAAGTGAGCTGCTAGATTAGTTGAATATCGATCAAGAAGATTCAAGTACTATAGCAGCTGGTGGTGTCTCTGTAATGGAAAATGGATGATCATGTTCTCCTTCATATGTTACAATCAATACGTTTGGATCATCCAATGCCCTCTCCACATGTTTTCTTGCTGGACATCCTCTTATACTGCTACACTTGTAATATCCCCTGAAATATTTCACCCCAATATTTATTATTCATATCATGGATTTGAACTACATTTATTGATTGATTAGTTGATCGATAAGTTTTAAAAGTAATTACCTGGGATGAGGAGAACCTTTGATAGGTTTTTGACCATATTTTCTCCAAGAAAAATCATCTGGTGGAATATCTGCCATTTTCATGCTAATTGCCGGGATTCTCACCACTCTTTTGACCTTTGATTTCCTGATATAAAAAAGAAACGCAAGTTCAATCAAATTCTAATATTTTAAGAAAACAAGTGAAGGGGAATATTTTCAGCTATGTCAATTAATGATATATCTAGGTCGTTGACTTTTTACCTTTTCTTGGGGCAATGGCAACGACCGGAAGATCCACCGGCGCTGCTGCACTTCACGGTCGAATCATCCATGGAACTGCACTTCCGCTTAAACGACGACGTTGAGAGCGGTGGCCGACCGGCGGATGAAACCTGAGAAAGATTCGTTATTTGAAAACCGGACGACGTCATCGAGGACGGCTGCAAACTCTCGGTGTCACCGGTCAACGATGAAATGAAAGAATTCGCCGGCGATGGGGTAGCAAAGTTGATTGTGGTCGTTGATTCTTTCCTCTCCGACGTTGACCCATTTTTCACCAGCTGCTGGTGGTGGTGGTGGTGGTTAAGGGGTAACGGAGGCAAACGCTGAATCGGTGTGGGACAATAGATTTTCGAACCGGCTTGTGGGTTTTCGGTTTTTAACTTTTCTTCAACCGGCCGGTTCTGACTGGGCTCCGGTAGACAGAGCAGCTCCGGTTCTTTATGTAGAACCGGAGAACTAGTAGTGGTGATTGGACCCCTGCGGAACCGGGCATGGCCGGTTCTTGTTCTGTCAAGTAAAGAAATGAACTTTTTGAATCTGTTGACGGCTGTATCAGCTACTGCTAGGTAATCTGGTGAAAAATCTAAAGTGGAGTTAGTATTTATAGAGGGATCTTGAAAGCTCTGATTTTGCTTTTGTGAATGGTTTTGAGATTGAGAGAGCAATCTGATTAATTTCTCAACGCTTTGTAAACCAGCGGCAGCTTCTTGCATGGCGTTTTCTTCCATTTTGGATGTGTAAGTATTGTTGTTTCTATAGCCAGTAGTCATTAAATCTACAGCCATATCTAGAATACCATCAAACAGAGAGAAGAAAAGAAGGGAAAAAACCCAATTTAGTAGAGAGAGATGGGGTGAAAGGAGAAAAAGAACAAAGCAAAAGATGACTAATAAAGAAATAAAGAGAGAACAGAGGAAATTCAGGAAAGTGTATTCTAATATATTGGGAGTCAAACTTTGATGCCTTCTTTTATTTTCTTCTATTTTCAATGCAAATGACTGACTTGTCGTTTCTAACCTTATTGATAAAACCAATGAGAGATCGACACGTACATTTAGGAGAAACCGGAGAAGATGGCATTGACCAAAGGTTTTTAACCCGTTAACGGGTAAAGCGGTGAAAATGGAAGATGGACGACTTTTTGGTGATTGGGGAAGCTAGAAAGTCAAATGCTAATAATGAAGCATTGGATGAACGATTAAAAGTTGGGTAAAACGGGTGAGGAAATAAATTGGTACTGGTGTGTGTGAATTAGGTCTATAGCCCAAATCAACTTATTTAGAGGAGTGCTTTTCTTAAAAGTATTTTTTTAAAAAGTACTTTGGTGAGAAGTAGTTTGTATTTGGCTAATTAATTTGAAAAGCAATTTTGAGCAGTAATTAGTGTTTGACCAAGCTTTTGAAAATTGCTTCTAAGTGTATTTTTCTTAAAAGTGCTTCTCAGAAAAGTGCTTTTGAAGGAAGCTACTTTTTTCTGCTTCTCCAAAACTATTTTTGCTTCTCCTCAAAAGCACTTTTTTTCCTTCCAAAAGCTTGGCCAAATACCTCAATTTCTGACCAAAAGTGCTTTTGGCCAAAAAAAAGCACTTTTGGCCCAAAAAAAGCTTGGCCAAACAGGCTATTAGGCATTGTGCCGAATAATGTTGAATCGAGTGTGACTTCATTCAAGTTTGAATAGAGTCCAACCAACATAATTTTGAGGTAGCTTTCACTGAAATTTTGAATTCTTCAATTTTTTGCACAAGCTGTTTTCAACTAAACATCTACAATAAAGTCTTGAAAAAAGAATTGATGGTTGGTTGAAAAACAATTTTTACAAAATAATAATAATAATTCCCAAAACTCTTATTCGATTTATTATCAAATTAAATTGACTCTGACTAGAATTTTATTATTCTTTTTTTTTTTTTTAATATGACGGTGGTTGAATGGATATTGAATTTAAGGGGAAAAAAGAAAGAATTTGGGTGACTATCAAAAGTATTTTTAGAATAGGTGTTAAAAAAGTTGTGATATTTTTATAGCTGTATGAACATGTTATTAAGAGTAAAATTAAAAGTTTATAGTTAAAGAGTTTTCAAATATGAAATAGTACCCTCTGTTTTACTTTATATGGTAATGTTTAACTCGACATCTCATGAGATCTTTGTAACCATAAAAACATGTAAATAAAAAATATAAAATTTAAAGTAAAAAAATTTTCAAATATAAAAATATATTATTGTTTAGAATAGATTTTAAAAAAATAATATTACATAAAAAAAAAGTGTTATTTTTATCAGGATCCAAAATTTCACAAAGTCGTGATGGTACCTATCCTAAATCGCTAGGTAAGCCAACTAATACATGCCACTACTCAGACCAAACATCGTCAATAAAATAAATAAGAATGTGGAAATTAACTCAACTAATCCCAAGAACTAGTGGTACAAGTCATAAGCGACTAGGATTTAAATTACAACATTGGCAAGAAGAAATACATAATTTGTTTGGAAGTTACATAAATAGAAAAACACAAGTCATATACTACTATGAATAAGATGATAGTAGATGGCTGGAATGATGTAGTCTTCAATGCATGTCCTCAAACTCCGCATCTGCTTAGCTTCAAACATATGCACGCAAGGTGCAGAAGTGTAGTATGAGTACAAACGACCCTCCATGTACAAACGACCCTCCATGTCAAATTGAAACAGATTCCTTACTTCAGGTAGTTCATGTACTGAGGGAGGGCGATAAGTTAGAAGATCATTTAGCTAACTTCACACTAGAACAACATGCCTTGGTACAGGTACACTCGTTCGAGGAACTAGACACACAAGGGAGGAAGATATTGAACAGTGACAAGCTACAGATACCCTATATTACGGTAAGAACTGCCAAGCCAAACACCAAATGATGATGCTCTCAGATAAACTGAAGTCGATGGGGAGCTTCTTGGTAGTAAGATGGTTGATTAGGATGTATTCTGGAGGTTATGGGAAGGTCTTAGGCAGGGAGAAGGCTACACATGAGCCAACCAAACAGGAGCCTTATAGAATTACCGGTTGGTGAAAATGGGAAGTACTACTCTAGAAGATGCACATTCCATTGCATCTGCTGCTTCCTAGAGGTCATACAAGTTAATACTAGTCAGGCCTCAAGACAACACAAGGGCTGTGGACACGCGCATTACTGTGCCATTTCCAATGCTGGACAATCTAAACCATGGAATTTCCAAGCATATTGCGGGATAGTTGAGCACCACTCAGAGGAAATGCCAGGTACATTTTTCATCTATCACACAAGAGGATGATAGTTTTGGAATGTATGTAATTAGAGAGTACAGATACAAGTTCAAAACTCTGAGGCAAAGTCACCACTACATCACCAATGCCTTGGCTTGGACATTAACGATGGACTTAATTACGTGTAATTTAGTTATAAAATTGGCCTTGTCAAACGTGGAGTATTGTTGTAGGTATTACATGGACCTACCATATATTCAGGATTGCAAAGGTTTATGCCCAGATCAAACGTGCATAATTACAAGGTATGCTATACAAGCTTGGAAAGCAGTGGTTATGCATATTCAATTCCAGACGTGATTCCTCAAGGAATATGCTGCATAGTTCTTTTTGTACTATCAAAGTTGTGTGCTACACTCAACTTTAATAATAGGATTGATGTACTTTTATATTTCATATTTTGTGAGACTTCCTCACACTTTGTATTTTGTTAATTTTTGTTTTGATTATTATTAATAAAAATACCACTAAGCACACAGCTTAGTGGTATATTTGCTTAAAAAAAAGAGTACAAATGACCCTATATACTCAATAAGTATTTTGATAAAACTCGATGAAGTAGTGACGAAGTTTTAAGTTAAAAGATACACACTTAACATAGCCTGTGCAGTTCATAAGCAAGAGAAATAACAAGGGAAAAATACAAGTAATAATGAACCGATAAAATAAAAGAAATAACGAGCATATTTCACAAACATAGCCACTAAACCTTTCTCAGTATGTCAAGTCCGTATACGTATTGGATAAGCAATGAAAGTAACCTGAAATTTGGTAGCAGACCTCAGTAACGAGAAATCGAGGTAAGAGTTACGGTATAATATGACCTATCTTGATGCAGTAAAGTCATACGGATAGATAAACGGATCTATGAAATAAGGTATAGAAATATTCGTAAGTTCAACAAAGTACCGAGCGAAGGACTTCAGTATACCTATAGATGCCCAGAGGGACATCTTGTCAAGCTCTGCATATGTTTACAAAGTGAGGCCTAGAGATGGGCTAAAAGCTGGAGGAAAAAGGAGAGAAGAGTCGCATAGGCACACTTACAAGGTCAGAGTCGTACAGGCTGCACGATAGAAGGTAGCAACGGTTACAAGATTGGAAGGATTCCAACCACGAGTCGTGATGTGAGAAAAGGCATAAAAGGGGGAATGCCCTGGCTTTGGGAGTCATTCACAAAACAGTTGCATAGATGGCAAGAGGAGTACTAAAGTATTCGGAAGACATAGGTTATGAAAATGATAAGTGCATCAGTCAACATTCGAGGATGAATGTTTCAAAGGGGGGAATGATGTTACACCCCATGTTTTCGTAGGTGAAAGTATGCCATAAGTAAATTGATGAAAGCTCAGAAATGAGATATTACATCCCGCATTTTGTAGTACGTTTAAGTTTTGTCGTAAGTTAATCGACGTAAGTTCGGGAATGAGATTATTTTAAGATTATAAGCATTTTATGCTATTTCAAACAAGTAATGAGTAAATTCGTGAAGGTGAGAAGGTAAGCAAATCAAAGATAATGAATTTTGTCGAAGTTTGACATTTTGGGATAAATTCGGGCCGAGCTTTAATACCCGATATTTATGGACTGGTACCATACAAGGTACCACATAGCCATGATAGTAAGGTGTATAAGGTGTGTTAAAAGTGAGTAGTATTTTAAATAATTTGAAATAATTCTTAATTATGTGAGTAATTGGATAATAATTGGTTAATGGGGAATTAACAAATTAATTAAAGGATTGAGTGAATAATTACCAGATAAGATTTGACCCCCACTTATGTGGCAGCCATATAAGAGCCACTAAGTGAATCTTAATTAAATGCGCAAGATGGCATAAGCCAAGCCAAAGTGGCAAATTAAACAAAATGAGTCATAGGACAAGGTAATACCTTGTTTACACGTAAGATTTGCTTGCTCTTCCTCCACCATATATTAAGTCCAAAGAGAAAGCCGTTCCTCCTCGCTTCTGAATTTGATGGGAATTTCAAAAGTACCTCTCCACGCAATAAACTTTATACAAACAAGACCAATAAAGAATCAGATCTTCCTGATCATGAGGCTCAAACTATTAAACCCCCTGTACTAAATAGTCACGGTCATGAGAAGAATTCTCTCATAAGGATGGTTTGAACTTGCCAAAACCAAGATCTGTAAGGAGAAAGCACCATAAATCCGTGTCAAATCGCGGCGAAGAGGTGGAACAAACAAGGAAAAGAAACAAAGCAGTCCTAGAGAAAGATGCCAATTCAAAGAAAGCCCGGTACAATCTTTCGCAATAATATCATATGAATTTTTCCCTACTTCGATCCGTCGTTACGTGTTTTTGCAAAAGATAATCAGTTCAGGTATGTTAAGGCTATCCCTTCTTTCTTTTTGGCATGATCTATACGACACGAATGAAACGAGCAAATGCACAACTTCCATAAATGACTCTATTCATAGAAGTATTAGAGATGCATATGTTCTTGAATTCCCATATGTCTTATTATTCTATCGTTTGTTCATCAGAAAATACGTAAGTTGATAAAATTTATTTCATGATATTAGTCAGAGGTATAATGGTCTTATGACATTCCGAGAGATTTTATTGACATACTTCTCATGCATTGCATTCACTTATACATGTACATTGACCCATGATCATATATATATATAT